ATGATTGTAGGACGCAGAACGCAGAACGCAGAAAGTTGGGTCAACTTCAACTTTCTGCGTCCTGCGTTCTGAAGAACGGGCTTGAGAGTCCGTTTAATAATTTTTTTTGGCTCTATTTTGGAGCACTAAATTAGCACTAAATTTCCTGTGTACTTATTTTTGTATACGTGCCCTGTATATTTTTTTTATGGGGGGGGGGGTCCAGCTTAATATTTAGCTGGACCCCCCATTTTTTTTTAATTACCGCTAGACGGCTTGAGCACTAAATTTCGGAATAGGGTACTAAATTAGCACCTAATTAGCACTAAATTTTTGACCTATTGCGAACTTGATTTTCGATGGTGGGAGGTCCAGGTTAATAGGGATTGCACACCGCCGTGAACCTCCAACCAAACGTCAACTGGAATGTGCAGTCATCTGAACGCCTCTACCGCCATCTAGTGTCAGACGGTGCAGCCATACATTTTGAGTGGTTGATGACGACGTATCTAATCTGAATCTAAAGATGCGTTCCAAAGGTGCGTTCCGTATCGCGCATGATGTGCATGATGCATCCATTGTCCTTATTTAACATTTGGTGAGCAACAAAGATAAACGATGCATTATGCGCATCATGCGAGTAACGGAACGCACCCGAAGTTACGCATGGAGCGAATGATGCATCGTTTTATCTTTTTTTATTATTTCGTGAACAACAAGGACAAATGATGCATCATGCGCTTCATGCGTAACTCGGAACGCACCCTATCAGTGTCTCCAGATCTACATTGATCGTAATGTAACGTCGTAAGCGTCGTGCGACTTAAAAATTGACATATCGGATTGACTGACGCAATAAACTTGCAATCTGCAACGTCTACGATACAACCGATGTAGATTAGGCTTAATATCGTATTGGCGACATTGTGTGGCGTACTCATTGCGTCTACCGCGGTGTATTTCTGATTTCGTATATTTTGATTTATTCTCTAGTACGATAGATCATCTATTTATCCATTTCTCAAGAGAGAAATATCAATATAAGCAAATATAAAAATTCATACGATATACTTGCACAAACGACTTATACAAAAAAATCGGAACATGTGTGGCACGCTTAAAATTTAAATAGAATGTTTGTTTGTGCATTGCTTGCACTTTTTGTATTCAGCATCTTTGTCTTCTTTTTTCTTCAACATTTGAATGTAGCGTGTTGCATACGCTCCGATTTTTTTGTATAAGTCGTTTGCGCAAGTATATCGAATGAATTTTCATATTCGCTCAAGTTACTTGTGCAAACCAAAATAATTGTGTAGTTATCTGACATGCACATTTACATAAATTTTCGCGAACAGCTTGCGCAACTTTTGCTTGCGCAAAATTTGCTCGAGCTCACAAAAGATTAGCTAATAGCTAAAATACGCAGTTAAAATGTGTTCTTATAATAGGAACAATTAATGTCGTTGCTGTTAAACTCAATTATTAGCTATTAAAATTTCGGTGCTGCAGTGAAAAATACTCGCACAACCATATTTTTTATGGTTGTCCCAAAATATAACTATAAAATTATAGTCACTTGAATCATTTTTATGGTAATTTCAACTATTTTATGGTTATAATAACTATAATTATAGTCATTTTAGTTGGCAACTATATACATTTATTGCTAGAACTATATATATAGTTACTGTTGTTATTATTATAATAACAGTAATAATCATAATTATAGTAATATATAATTATAGTTACAAATATAAAACATTTTTCTCTCAGTGTGCTATATATATAAGTGATTTTATAGCCACTTCAACTATCATCATTCTGTATCAAGTTGATACAGAAGTAGTTTTATATTAACTACTACGTTTAAAAATATTTTATACACGCGAAAAAATGTTGTACAGCATTTGCCAACAGCAATCTAATCAAAAGTGTTCATTCAATAACAGTATTGTTAAAATAAATAACTTTTTAAAACAATTGCACGATGGCGTATTTGTTTCATTAGTACTATAAATTAACAAAATTACTTTCAATTAGATGCTATCGGCTAATGCTGTTAATCTAACATTACTTTTCTTAACCTCTTCAGATCTGATTTTATTGAAAAAATTTGAAACCATGTTAACAAATTTTTTTAATTCAATTCATGCGTAAACTTAAATAAATAATTCATACTAAACAATTTTTTTTCAAAATTTTTACTATTTTTCCATCATATACCTACATTATTATATATGTATACATCAGATTTTAGACCGAAAGAATTAAATAATTCTAACAGATAATGTCTTCAAATTTGATGAGACAAAGACATACAGAATGGACTGCGCGATCCGTGTGTCAAAACGGTCGATAGGGACGAGAGAGAGGGACCGTGGCAGACGGCCATTTCTATCTCTTTCCATATGGGAGAGAGAATGAGAGGGAGATTGGCCATCTCCCACGGTCCCTCTCTCTCATTATTGTCGACCACATTTGATACACTACTTAGATACGGGTCGCGCAGTCCCCATTCTCTATGTCTTTGGATGTACGTTACAATGTACACTAGGTCTGAAGGGGTTAAGCGATAAGAATTTTATCGAACCGTACATGTGAAAATATAATCAATAGGAAATAGAGTTCATAACGATCAAAGCTGTATCTTTGATACTTAAATAATTCGGTGTGAATTTATATACTACATACGTATCATGACGGAAGGAATACGAGGTGTGATCAAAAAGTTAGGTGACTTTTTGAATTTCGCGCGCTCTGTACACTCTAATTTCAAAATTTTTTTTTGTTGTGTTGGTACACTCGTCACGATCATATGTTCACAGTTTTGA